ATAACCAATTTCAGCTTTCAAAAAATGTCAGCTGTATGCAGCCAAAGGAGCGCTGATATTTATGCCAACTGACAGCCATTTTTCGCGCATGCGCTTTGGAAAGCTTAAGGCTTAAGCATGCAATATAATTTACGCTCTTTACTCAGCACTCCGAAAGCTTTTGCTGTTGCAGAATTTTTGGATTGTCAGCGCAATGTAGTCCGAATTGTGAGAGGCTTGTAACGAGAGCAAAAGGATAACTTGCGCATAAGCGCTCGTTGGTTTGTGAATTTTTATTTCTCTCTCTCTCTCCCAAACTCTCTCTCTCTCCCAAACTCTCTCTCTCTCACACTCTCTTTCTCTCAGTCTATACATATTCTGAAACTTCCAACGGCCTTGTAACACTCTTTAAAATTGAGCATTTTCATCCTGTTTTCCCTTACACCCTGCTTCCAAGTCACACCACGAATTCAACAAATCGCATTTAAATGTGGCATTCCGTGCGGCTTGCCATTCAGTTGACCCGAAACGACTGCTTTGTGTAAGCGTCATATGATGTGCATATTTTGGAAAAGCATTCTGTCGATAGCGCACTATTGAGTGTAAGACTCAACGGCCAAAAACACATACAAGAAAAATGTATAAAGTTTTAATTTTTGCACCTTAGCTACACTTAATTTCCACTGCATAAGTCGCTCGGCTTATTGGTTAGAAGACCGGTCATTAACTTTGATCATAAAGCAGACCTACATACAACAATGTATATCCTCGTTATGTCATAATTGAATGAATTCAAGTACTATGTACACGAAAATATTTTTTGCTGCTGTTGGTTACATGAAATTACCTATTCACTTTTGTTTATACATACATAAAAGTATCCTATACTTAGCAGCTTTTACGACATTCTTATCAACGATTATGATCCCACGATTATACGCTTATGTACGCAAATATACATATCTACATACAAATATACATATCTATACATATCTACCCTCTACAAACCCATCCCAAAAACCCATTTCCGCAGTGCATGCACGCTTATCCGTTCTGATCCGCACTTGTGCCTGCTTGATTGCCGCCACCCAAAGCCCATTGCATGTGTAGCAGTAGCAGGGTGTCAGTTTTGATTTTTTCCATTCGAAGTGGTCCATGAATTGTAATTTTTGTTTACATTTTACTGTGCACTGACACATTTTGTTTACGTTTTTTGATATTTTAGAGTAAAAAATCAACAATGAAATATACTCAGCTTGTTGTTTTTACTCTAATCCTGCTACCTGTTTAATGTGCTTTTACTGTTTCCTTATCGTTTTTTCTACTAAATATCGATGTGAAATTTATTTAATCAAATTTTTGTCCAATTTTGTAAATGTATGTATGTATTTACATTAAGAACCTTTCGGCAACTCTAGAACTATTGAAAAGATAGTTTTAATTTTTATTTTTTTTCAAAAATTTTACTTTTTCGAAAAAATGCTTTTTTTTTTGATTTTGCAGAATTTTTTACCCCTTTTTCAGAAACCCTTGGACTATTGAATGGCTCCTCGAAACAGTTTATCTGTCATTTTTCGACATGTCGTACTGCGTGAATCTGGCATTACGACTTTTGAAAAAATTAGTTTGTTATCAAAATATCCAGAACTTATTTTTCCTTTTCAGGCACTCTAGAAATATTTAAAAGCTTCTCAGAGCAGTTTTTTTTTATTTTCCTTTTTGCCACATATCATATGCTGCCTTAATCTGGTCTACAAAATGTAAAATTTAATTTTTTCAAAATATCCAGAAAAATTGAAAAGCTACACAGAACAGCTTCGAGTTAGTAGAATTTTTTTATTAAAATTCACTAATTCCTTAATTTTAAGGTAACAAAGCTACAGGGGTTGCCTTAAATTTAAGGAATAAGCGACTTATATTTAAAAATTTATTACATTTGTTACTATCCAGCAAGAACTTTTCGTTTCTGGTAAGCGCTTATTTTTGGCACCGATGGAGTAGCGCATTACAATACGCCGCAAAACAAAATTTTTCACTGCATTTTTATATTTTCTCGTGCTTACTTCCAATGACATGCCCAGGTTAAAGTAATTTGTTCTGTAAACGAGAAGGTATGTTGTGAATTTCGAAAAGCATTTACCAATCGAGATCCACCACTCATCCTGATCAAAGATCTAGAGAAAACAAACGAATAGTTTTTTGTGCCAGTCAGGCAGTCCTCAAAGCATTACATACAAATATCGAGAATCCAAATTCGCCTACTGAATGAACAACATCTCTCATCGAGAAGCTCAGATTCATAAAACAAAATTAATAACCATACATATGTCCTTGTATGTCTGGATATTGAGTCGAATTTTAAAAAATGGCCAATTTTCAAGCAAAATATTCGTCCACATCCTTCCAAGAAAGAACGCGGCTGGTATATCAGTGGATTCATTTAAACGATACTCAAAGGGTCATGCGACTCATTTAACCACTTTTCGTCCTGTGAAACTGCGCAGCCTCTCGCCCTTATGATCGTAATTTTATCCATAAACAGTTATTATTTTCTAATCTGAATGCTTGTGATTCGAATCGAGGAATACGTACAGTGACCAAAATAGAAATTAGTTTTGGCTATTTTTCCTTAGTTTATTTAATGTTTATTATTCATTTAATAAAAGTAAAGCTTTTTCCTAACAAAAAACAATTTCCAACTTTATTGCAAAAACTCTAAAAATTAACTCTGCAATGCTTCACCAAAATTTCAAACTACTTAATTAGAACCTTTAGAAAAAATTTGGTTTGCAGTTTTGTAACTTATTAAAATTGAGTATAATAAAGTGCGAGTGGAAAGTGCTGCTCATTTGCTTCTCTTTCAAAAAAATAGTCGAACATCTATATATAAATACGCCACAAGAAAATTTTGCAATCCCTATGCTACAATTTATCGAATTTTTTTAACAAATTCTACAGGGTAAAAATCTCGAGAAAATTATCCCACAAATTTGTGATGTCACTGAAAGGATACTGTTTCAGGACTAATACATCTAAAATCATTGAAGAAGGCTTTAAGATTCGTAAGCTGTTGTGGAAAAAATGTGCAAAATTATTTTTTGTCCCGTATTCGGCTCTCATAAATATGGTCACCGTACTCATACGCTGTGTACGAGTTTGGCCCTGTATATGGCGTATGAATAACATCTTCCATGTTCGGCGTTTTTTGTGCCATTTTACTGGAAGTGCGCCATACAAAATGTTGCAAAAAGTACTTAGTAAATGAGCTGTGATTTTGCTAAAAATTTTAACGTGGAGTGCTTTTGCATAGAAATGAAAAAATATGAAAAATGGTTGAATTTAGCAAACTGCCACGCCCACTAGACTAGGGGCGGATATGGTAAATACTATCCGATTCCACTGAAACTCGATTTGTAACTTGGATTAAGCTAGAATGACATACATCCGAAATATAGTGAAAATCAGTCAACTGCCACGCCCACCAGCTATCCAAATTTTATATCTGATGTGGCAACGATCCTCCAAAATAGCAAAACTTTGGTGGAAGTTCGGGTAGCTTTTCCCCCCGCCCCAGGGAGGAAGCGCGTGTCTGGTCGCTAATCCACACATTTTTTTTTTACATTTCTGGGATTTTATTCAAAAATAGATGTTGCACCAAAGTTAGGGCATCTTCCACATCAGTATACAAAATTTGGATAGCTGGTGGGCGTGGCATTTGGCTGATGTTTCAGCTTAATCCAAGTAACAAATCGAATTTCATTGGAATGGGATAGCAGTTATCATATCCGCCCCTATTTTAGTAAGCGTGGCAGTTCACCAATTTTTACTAGTTTTCATACTTTTTCTTTCCTTAGTGAAGTGGTTCAAATGGCAAATTTTTAGAAAAATCGAGTTACGTTTA